AATCGAATTTCAGCATCTCATCCTATAAATGCCAACAGGGTGCTAAACGATATCGCTACCTCCTTTCTGGTTATATAAGGTTTACACCTACATATTTTAAGTTATAGGAGCATATCCTAAATATTATACAATTTGAAATTTGAATTTCCTAATGGTATAAGTGTTCTGATATGTGCCAGAGATACATGCAGGATCTACTCCCTCCGTTCCTAAATATTTGTCTTTCTAGAGTATTCAAATGGACTACCACATACGGATGTATATAGACATATCTTAGAGTGAAGATTCACTCATTTTGCTCCGTATATAGTCACTTGTTGAAAACTCTAGAAAGATAAATATTTAGGAACGGAGGGAGTATAAATTAGAAACGGGATTGTTAAATTTCGGTTTACTGGGACTTAACCAAGTCTCAATTAATGCTACACCTAATTAGAAAGGAGGGAGTAAATCGTAACAATGATTAAATACTTAAACAGCCAAGCGCTTTTGAACAATATCAATATCAATGTATTCCATTTAATACTTAATGCATTTGTAAATGCAAATACGATGGCCTGTCTGTACACATGTACAATTCAAAATATTCACAAAAGAGTTGTGCTAGTATGAGTTTTAGTTCATGTTGGCGTGCACAAATGTGTCAGATCTGTATAAAAAAGTAAGGGAGGATAATGACAAGCCTTTACGTTTGAAAATTTGATTCTTACACTGTTATCTTTTGCTTTCTCACACTTAACTAGTTCTACTTATTCTGAAATCACTATGGAATTCTAACACAGAAAAGTACTCCATCCGTCCAAAGGAATTTTGGCAACACCATCCATCTGACACAGAGGGTGTTTATTAGAAAAATTCCTAAGAAATACTGTAGAATCTTTAGAAGAATACTATGAACATCATACAATCCAAATGTATTCTTTGAGACTGAGCTAACGTGGCCAGTCTCAGTTGTTCACCTCATCAACTGACGTAGTGGCTCCGCTTGATAAAGGCAAGCTTATTAACTGTTAAGCGAAGCAAAGTTCTCTTTTAAAAAAGGAAGGTAAATTATCCAACACAAAACGGTTATGAACAAAGAAGGTACTACAACAGAGCGGATGCTATTATTATTACAAGAAGATCTGTCACAACATCAAATGGCTGTTACGAATTTATACAGCAGCGGCAGGTCGCTAACACATACAGGTCAGTGCTTGCTGGCGGTGGCGGCGTTAGACCCTGGGCCTCACCCTGCGCCCGCTGGTGTCGCCGCCGTCCGAGATCTGGCCCCACACGCTCTGGCTCTTGCCGCCGCTGCTGCATTCCTCCTCGCACCCGGCTACCGTCCGGAGGATCTCCGACTGCAGCGCCGGGCAGTTGTCTTTGAGGTAATCGAATCCGTCGGTCCGGATTACAGCTGCAGATACATAAGGGCATCTGGAATGTTATACAGTTCAGGACGCTTGTTTGGGCACCACCATGAAACAAACAGTAGAAGCAGATACAAAGGTAGTAAGTACCATAAAAACATCAGAATACTGAAATTATAGGACGTATCAGTTGATAGCATCGACAAATCAAGAGCATGAAACAAATGAAAATTGAAATGGTTTGAGCCAACTACTGTACAGTCGGGCTGGCATAACGGGAGATCAAAACTTGCATAGTTATCAGACTAACACTGCCCTCAGCACGAAGAATATATTTCTGTATTACCAAGTGGTACGTCTTCTTTCTAACAATTGAAGCAAACAAAGGCATCATATGGGCCACTGTTCCTTTCGATGTGTATGCATAGGGGTTGACACTTGTGGAAACAAATGGCAGCATGCTGTTTCATACACCACCTTTTGGACATAATTCTCAAGCAGACATGAATATAAACCCAATTATCCGATAACTACATAGGACGAGCACATCAAATTGCAGCCCTTGTTAAGTCTTGTTACCTGAAAGGTTCTCAGCAGCAAATTTTAGGCAGACGGACTTGAGCTCTGTAGCATGATGCCGATCAGCCAGCGCTAGAGTAGTTGCCACAGATTTTACAGAAATCTGTTTGCACAAGTAAGATTCACATAACACTCTTAGCCTTGGCAACTCATATTTGTCTGCTGCAGCCAACAATTTCCCAGCTAAAGTATCAAAGATGGGACAATCTGAGCTTGATGCAGACAATTCGTCATCACCGACAAGATTGTCCCTGTACATGAAGTGAAGCACAGCCTACAACATAGAGTATTTACATATGATAAGATATCAATCAAGTTTGTTAAACTGTGAAATCCAAAGAATAAGATCAGCATAGAAGAAACATACCTGAAAGACTTTTGGCTCCATGTCGTCGATGACAATCTCTTTGATTTCGTTACTGGTGTCGACTTCACTGTTTTCTTCATCTGATTCAGGATCAAGAAATTCAGATCTAAAAAAAGAAGATCGCGCAGCCAACACTAACTTATGAGCATGAAACCTCTCTCCTGCTACACTAAAAATAACATCTGCACCCTCTTGAGATTCCAAAAGCGTCCCAAAATGGTAGCCTATGTCAGAATCCGGAACCTCTAGAGAATGCGGTCTAGAGTACTCCATGGTTGATGTTACAACACCCACAGTGCAATTTATCTTCAAGCAATCGTCTTTAAGAAAATCCGATGTCTCAAGGGCAGTGCGTCGAAAAAACCTTTTATAACCCCTGAAAACAGAAATCAAGATGAAAAACTAATATCAGAAAAAAACATTTACATTTTTACTGCTTACAACCCTTCACATTTAAAAAAATTAAATCAATAACATGACAAGCCGAGTTCACACAAACTATTATAATCAATTTAACAAGTGTGCAAAAAGTTGCGGATCTCGCACTCTTTTGTACCAAAGTAGGCCATATCTATATATATACTTTCAAGTTCTCTAGCCGCTCCCAGCTTAACCTAAAGTTAATAGAAATTTTCTGATTTATCTCATTCATTGGATCTAACACCTAAAATGACACTGCAGATCTACAAGTATGGTGATCAATTAAAATAATTGTATGAAATGTTCAAACAGAGACTAATGAAGTATGTAAAGCAAATATATTAATCAGTTAAATACCTCCGCTGAAGGATGTGTTGAGAATGAGAATATCATGACAAGACGATACCCAAACAAAACAGCCCTCCCAGATAATGTGTTTGACAAGGAATTTAGGGTGGTACTAGATAATTAAACATGGTTGATTTGGGGTTGCAGTCCAATGGGTTGGACAAGTAGTTAACACTAATTCGTACACCAAATCCTAATCGTTGCACTCCCAACAAGAAACAGGCCCACAGCAGAACGAAAATAACTTCTAACCATAGCCAATTCGTCGATTAGTTATTGGCGCAGTGTCAGATTCACCACCTGGTTACCTACACAATAAGGCCAGAACCATGCCAATAAACCTACTAATATGTTAGGCGTAGCTACTGACCACAAGTAGCAGCTGCTTCAAAATGATACCCAAATCGCAAGGCAATGGAAGCAGAAGAGCTCGTATGAGAGGTGATCCCCGAGAGAAGAGATTGCGGTGGGAGTCTGGATGAGCATACCACATGGATCCGCGGTACTTGAGGGTGTAGGGCCCGGCGTCGAGGGCGCGGTCGAAGTGGGAGTGCACCTTGTGCTTGCCCCGGCCGCTCTGGTCCTGGAGGGTGAGCTCGAAGAGGGCGCGGACGTCGGTGCCCTCGGAGGCGAGCGCGATGAAGACGGAGACGTAGGCGGAGTTGTCCTCGGGGTTCTTCCCGTCCGGGTAGAAGTAGATCGCCCACTGGTACCCCCCCACGGCGAAGGTCTCGCTGGCGATGTGCTTGCCCACGCCCATGCCCTTGGCGAGGGAGTAGCCCTGGATGACGAACCGGTGCGAGCCGTTGACCGTCTCCGTCACGGAGCGCGAGCTCGTCGGCGAGGCCGCCGCGGCGTCCCGCGCGGGCGCCGTCGCCCCCGCCCCGCGCTCGATCACCACCGCCCCGCCCCCGCCCTCGTGCTGCGGGGACGCGTCGCCGCCGCCCCCGGCGTCGTCGTCGTCCATGCGGGAGGGCGCGGGGCTAGGGTTGGCGGGCGGAGGAGGCAGGGATTGGGGATTGATTTCGTGGGTTGGCGCTAAGCTGCTACAGCACGCGGACGCGGGGGAAACGAGGGAGGAGGGAGGAGGGAGGAGGGAGGAGGGTGCGGTGGTGGTGGTGGGTGGAGCGAGCGAGAGAGAGGGTGGAACGGAGGGAGGGAGCCAGCCGCCGGGAAGGTAACAAATTAACCAACTGTTTCGGCCTGTGAGTGACGCACTCATGCTGTGTCACCTGATTTTTTGTTGGATTGGAGAAGCATCAGTTGATACCACCATTTTTTAAAAACTCAAATGTAAATGTCTCGATAAATTTCCTTCTTTTGTCGAAACATTGCGCTTTCCTCGCCCAGATCTGAGCTCGAATCGAACGGTTTCAAGTAGTAGAACTCTTCACGGTATATTGATTTGGTCGGATGAATTCAGTTGACGTCTCCAAACAGACAAACACATGCTCGTCAATGTGTGAGATAAAAACCAAACAGAAGGGAAGTCAAAAGCATATCAACAGGCACTCTAGGCAGCGCTTCTCATCCAAGATCCAACCGTACATCATAAATAAAGTCGCATGATTTGCCGCTGCAACGCGATACGAGAAGCAATCATTGCGCAACAACAAACAACGCTCCCTGTGCCAACTCACAGCACATTACTGTACTGTACGACCGGAGTACCGGGCAATGATTTCAAACACTGGCTACAGCCTGGACGGGGCAGCGCCTCTGCCCCGGCCGTACGGGGAAATTCAATGGCTGCTGACTGACCCCGTCACTGTGCAAATCTCTGCATACACACGCCCCAGGAGTAAAAACTCGTATTTTTCACCTCCCGACGGTGAATGAACTTACAACAATTTCGCTATCGCTTTGCTAAATTCGGGCGCAAAATTGACCTGCATCATGGCCTAGCTTTCTACCGGTAAAACACTTTTTGTGTCTCATAACGAGCTGACAAGTCCTACACCTAGGTCCTCCGCGAGCTCATCCCACAGGGGGATGAGGATCAGCACGACGAGGAACACCGACGCTATCAGGGCGCCCCTCCTCCAGGTGCCGACGTCGCTCACGTCGTCCAAGCATGGCTTCTCAGGTGTTCTCTGGGGATACATCACAAGGTAGACAGACATAGGTTAGTGCACAAAATACATGGATCCTCTCATGCCTAGTGTGTCGTCCATCCGTTTTCCTGTTTTTACCTGGCATAGGAGCACGTATAGGCCCCAAGGAAGAGACAGCGGACCCCCAAGCTATAAGGAATTTTTTTTTATGAAGAACGTTAGTTTCCGAACTAGAAAAACTGATATTCCTGAGGTAGAGTCCAGCATTTTTCTTCAGTATTGATTGTATAAAAATGATTAAGATTGTTAGTGCTCTGATATACAAGTACACATAGAACATTGCACGTTGTTTACTATGAACGGAAATGCATTTTTCTGTTCTTCTTTTCAGAGGTATAAGAAAACAAGCTGTACATCAATAGATTAGAGACTCTGAAGCCAAAGCTGGGAAGGCTAGGTGCAAGATGTTGGTTGGAGAAAGAAAAAAGTCCAAGAGCAAGATGGACTGACGTACCACTCCAAGTCCAAGCAACGAATAAGTCGTCAAGCCAAATCCAAATAAAGCATCCTTGCCGAACGCACCCTGTTGAGCACACCGCAGAACTTCAGACTTGGTAAAGAACCTCAGGATTTTACTGCTAATCAATCATGTTATTTCACAGCTACAAGGTTAAGCACCAAAACGTCCAGAAGTTCTAGGTACTACCTCCATCTCAAAATATAAGACGTTTTTGTAGGCTAAACTACAAAAACATCTTACATTTTGAGATGGAGGTTATTTACTGTAAAGTTAGTGCAGATTGAAATACTGATAAAACAAGCTATGGAAATCTCAATAACTCACGAACAAAAGCGTAAAAGTTGTATTGAGATGTTGAATGTGTCACTTGTTACTGTGCAAATGAAGCCCTTTTGATGGATCTGTCTGTCAGTAAAGTTGTAAATGAAAAATCAATGTTAGGTCTGAAAAATTTTCACTGACAGGAGGCGCTTGCACGGGAATTGCCAGTGGTCGAACAGTGTACCAAGTTGTAATTCTTATTTTTCCAAACATTCAAAAAACCCAACCACTCTAAGATTCACAAAGTAGAGCTTAACACCGTTTCCACTTTTCAGATCACTGACAGCTACAGGCATCTCTAAATAAAATGGATTTTGTTCCTGCATACACTAGTTTCTTGAACTCTTGATCATGATCTTTTGTTAGTAGTTCATGGCTGCATACTACTGTCCACCTCAGCAGTACAAGTCACACAGATTGGACATGTCACAAGTGCAGATATCCACTACCACTAGAGATGGAAGACAATTTTTCACTTTATTAAGTTTAGTCATAGCATCCTAAGTCACGCTTAAACGGCTTAGAAACTCTTATAAGAGAGGTGAGTGAAAAAAGGGTCCTGAAAACAGTATTAACTGTCAAGGAAGGGAAACAGAGAGCCATTCTCAAAATGAGTAGCTACTGCTACATACTCCTGCCCACAAATATGTTATTTTAACCATGTGTACAAGAATTACACAAATAGCCTAACATGGTCATCATGCTCTTCTCTTACTAGCCTCTAGTTATGCTCTCCAAAGAGGAGCACTGTGAAGGAGATTCATTTATTCATGAGAGTATTGAAACATGGACTTCGACAAAAAGAGATGACTAAAATGACCTATATTTCTGGACGAAGGGAGTGCATGCATATGGTCCAGCATGATTATTTAGTTGCATCCATAAAAAATATTATATTAACTTTTACCTGTAAACCTCTTCCACCGTCAAGACATCCAACAGGAAGCATATTGAAGGCAGTAGTTGTTAAACCACACCTGCAGAATTTGCAGGAACAATAAGACAAAGAAAACCTGTTTGGTCACAAGAGGTCCGGCAATTTGTGAACGATACTTCACCAGCCAGCGATCACAAGAGGGTGGATAGAAACCGTAGCAGCATGCAGAGCACTGAAAATCAATTTAAGTTTGTTAGAAAATAGAAACATAGAGTTCATATCGGAACTACAAAATGCAGAGTTGAGCAGTTTATAAAATATACGAAGCTAACAACTTCTATCATGGATGATGGGTATACTAGTATATTCAGCAGAAGTTGTATTACCAACCACAATTTTTAAAGCGGTATAAGGTGAAGCTAGGTGCCTAAGCCCTGCTTTAACTATCAAGCGCTTAAGGGAAGGTGGTAAGGCGAGACGGCGGCCTGGCAACGTAGGAACAGAGCAATCGGCACATGTAATAGAGAGAAAATGGAACGTGCTGAGATGGGCTACTATCCATTGTTCCACACAGAACAGAACATCCTCATGGCATAAAGGCACATTATCAGTGCTGAAGTGACGCTGAAGCAACGCCTACAAAACCATGGTACCAACATGATTTGTAAGCTGTAAAAGTTCTTAATGCTTAACTATCCACACTCATATAAGATCCCATTACACATAATAATTCATCAAATATCTATAAGTCGGGAGTTAAGAAAACCACTGATACTCTACTTGAGATGATCAATCCTCCTAAAACTAGAAAGAGTTTCAGCTAATCCGGTACACGCCTCAAAAACTGCAGCTATGAGCGAGAATCAGGAAAGCAGCACACACTTTCTGAGTGTTCTAAAATGGTATCTATAACAGGATAACACGACAGACTGAAGGAAAAAGTGCAGCTATCACATCTGGAACTAGGACAGATAAAAACTTAAAAAATAGTCTAACGAAATTAAATACTATTCCCTCTGTAAACAAATATAAGACGTTTTAGATCGATCTAAAACGTCTTATATTTGTTTACAGAGGACATAGTTTAAATGGTAGAAAGTAAATGTCCCAAATTCCAGGTATCAGTCACCTGTAACCAAGTATTGCTCTGCTAATAAGTCCAAGCAACAAAGAACCCTGGAACAGATTGCTGGGTACTTGAACTAAATCAGTTGCCCCGGCAGGATTTGAGGAGAGCCACAAGCCTACAGAGAACATCGAAAAAGAAAGTGCAGCTCCAGCCAAAGGACCAGCCATTGATACGTCAAACATTGTCTTTCGATCTGGCAGAATGGATTTGAACTACAGGAGTGGATGATGAAAATAAGAAAACTTCAAAGTAGTGGTTGGACATAAATATGCACAATCGTATCACTTTTGCAACATGGTTCACAAAATTAGGCATGTCAAACAAATAACGGATAGCGGAAAAAAAGGTGTTTCCTTAAGATTTAGGCTCTGGAATGTACCTCCCATGAATGATGACACCCGAAGTAGAAAAAACAATATCGCTACTCAAGCATCTTCCAACAGATTTAATATTATTTACCACCATACACAAGGGAGAGGGGTAAAGAAACTTAAAATGAGGCATATTTTCCCAATGCTATCATGTTTACACGTGGGGAACCAGGTAATGCAGATAAAGCGCAATATATTATCAAGAACTCAAGATTTGACCCAACTCTTCATCATCATGGCATACTAGCAAATTAGTGATCAACTAGTTGATATATAGTAGTGAAATAGCATCACAATACATTCCTGTCTGATGCAATCTATACATATTATAATACTTCTTCTAAACATACTAACCTGAGTAATTGAACCAAAAGTTCCAAGAGTGAAGTTCGGAATGAAGAAAGGAATGCCCAGTTTCACATTCTTTGGGTATGCTGCCAAAAAGTGTCCAACTTCCTGCACCATAATGTAACATGGTAGGTCAGGTCAAAACAATTACAAAAGTGGGGCTTCATGAATAACAAAGCTCAAACCGCTAAATGCATCACTACTTAATTAAAGGATCCACTGATACAATTGTCTGCTAGTTGATGCCAACGTTGAATTGCTAGGAGCAGAGCTATCGATCGAATAGTTTGTTTTAAACTACCAACTATACCGATTACCGAGTCATAAAGGACAGAGCAATTATTCAGATTTGAGTCTTTACACAAACCTGCTCATAGCAATTATATTATGTTAATGCTGGAACGAGTTCAGCAATAACTCTAACAAAGGAAATACAATAAGATGTACTTTGCCGGTTTGCCCCTAGGACCACACTTTATATGGCAGCAAAAAACGTAAACACAACTGAATTCTGGGAGTCTTTTGTAACCAACTGGAGCATTGCAGAAAAGGTTAACAATGACAATTTCCATAGCATTTCTTGAAAGCTTGAACTGGTGTACAAGATGTGCTCCCTCCATTTCTATTTACTCCACATATAAGATTTTACTTAAGTCAAACTTCGTAAAGTTTGACCAAGTTTATAGGAAAAAATAATCAACATCCACAATACCAAATTAACATCATTAGATGGGTCATGGAATTAAATTTCATATTGTACACCTTCACTATTGTAGATGTTTGATATTTTTAATATAAATTTGGTCAACCTTTACTAAGTTTGACTTGAGAAAAATCTTATATGCGGAGTAAAAAGAAACAGGGGGAGTACTACTGCTCAAACAAGAGCTAAAAGACTAGATTTAGAATAAATGCTCAGCAGATCTTTGATGTGATTTACATGAAATAGTTGGATAGCCAAGACGCCATAAGCCACTGGCAGAGCAGATTCCACGAATGGAAGTAAAAGTTGCATGTCAGGTGGGGGTCCAGTAGCATTTGGATCAGTGAAATATGAAACAATATCTGGTGGAAGACTGCTTATCTGCACAGGTAAAAAAATTATTAGCAACCTAGCATAGAAGGGTATTAAGTTCTGGTACCAGATAACAGGTTAGGCAGATGTACCTTTGATGCAATTCCTAGCTCAATACAGGAGAACACAGTGAGAAGGAAAAGTAACAGTGAAATAACGTATTGCCACAAGGTAGTAGGTCCAGGCTCAGAAACTTCTCTTCTAAGCAAACCAAAACTAACACGTGGTCCCCCGCGTGGGTCATCCTCTTCTGAATTGGGCTCCTCCACCATGAAAAGATTATATTTGTCACCTGTAAGTTCACGTAGCTGCCGCTGAAGTTTTCCAAAGATTTCCTCTCTGTCCCCTCGGAGATTCCCAACAAAAAGGACTCCTTCCCCAAGATCACCAAAAGGTTCTTCTCTTGTCAACCAGAATGTTGTGTAGCCAAAAAACTTTTCCTTGATAGCCTTGACATCAGCTTGATCAACCTTTTCTGGGCCTAGGAGTTCCAATAACTTAACTGTATCGATATTATCCACACTGAAGCTCAAAAGAGGAGGCTCGCTTGATACACCAGGAGTCTGAGCAAATGGATATGTTATAAAATATGTTTGAGAAAAGAATTAGCCATGTTCATAATAAACAAATATGCACTACAAGTTAAAAGAAATGTTGGTGTACGCCTTATTAAGAAGTACATCCTCCGTTTCAAAATATTTGTCATGGTTTTAGTTCAAAAACTAAAACCACGACAAGTATTTTGGAATGGAGGGAGTACATATCATGTTTTTCTCTATTTCTTAAGAAAAGGAAATTATTCAAGCTTACTGAAAGAATTCTGAAATTTGGTGAGTAAGTTCTAACAGGTTTAAACTGCTATGGCGGTATTCACATTACTTGGAACTTGCAGTCATAATAGAATAGAGAACTAATAGCTGTAGTGATATGATGCAATCATTACTGAGTATAGAGACAGGATGGGATTCATCATTTAGGTAGAATTTCATCTAACAACCTGGCATGCAGTACCAAAGTATCCAATGAAGGATACTAAATATCATAGCGCTAGGCTTTGAAAACACGAACAAGCACAATGTGGTAACATCCCTTCATTTTTGGCAACTGAATGTCGCGTCTGCCATATCAACATTAAGATAGTGCCTCTGCTCAAGAACATAGGATGTTTTTAATATCACTATAGTCTCAACATGTAAATTTGACCATTACTTCCTTTTTATGACCGTCTCATACTTGCACATACATGGCTTAATCTTTGAGACAAGCATATGACTACTGGCAGGATCAACCAGGTAGCATGTCCTCGGTGACATCCAGCGTCGGGGGTCGTCTTGCCCTTCCACTTGCATGGAAACGCAAAGGCAACAGCCGGGCCGGTTGTCGCTGTTGAGCGGGCATACCTCATCCTCCCTGAGGATTGGCGCAGAGAGTTGAGTATCCTACCACGTAACAGGGAGAGATAGAGGCAACACTTGTTCCGGTTGTTCTCAGTTCGGAGAACTTTGGGTCGGGTCGGGGCAGCCAATAGGGCCACGAGCCCTTATCATGAGCAGCATCCGAGGCCAACAGCGTGAGCGAGGTTGCCTTGATAGCAGCAGGCATGCTACAGGCCAGCACCACGATGCAACGCCACAAGCACTATTAGGCCAGGGTTTAGGGTTTAGGATGGTAGCTGCAACTGCAGATTTATTATGTTCTGAGATTTATTTTTTGTGACAACTCTAACGATATCCATGTAATCAAACTAAATAATCTTCTATGTCATCATGGTCCAAGTTATAGAAGTTTAGCTACACTGTATGCCTTCTAAAATGTCGTACATATCCGATTTAAGGGATTAATTACTTCACTAGTATAGTCATACTAACACTGCATCATAATCACTGATCACAAGGATCATTCAGGAATTCGATTCCCCTTTCAAAAAATAAGTAAATGAATGATAGCACCAATTGTGCATCCAATGATCCAATCCTGCCTCTAATTGCACACAGTTCTGTCTCTCAAACCAGCAGAATGGGCTTGAAAAATACTCCTAAATCAGCAAGTTGTTCAGTCCAACTATGTTCAGCACACGAAATGGCCAATGGCTTAGTTCCTCATACCGCAGAGGACGGAGATGACGAGGAGGAGAAGCTGCCCGAGCGGCTCCGCTCCTCCGCGGCCCCCACCTTGGCTTCCACGGGCGCTGCCGCCTCCTCCTCGCCCCGCTTCTCCCCGTCCTCCCCGCCTCCGCCGCCCTCGTCGACGGAGAAGCACCGCATCCGGTCGCACCGCCTCAGGGGCCTCCAGTCCAGGTAGGCGCCTCGCGGGCACCCCCACCGCGAGGAGGCCGCGGGGGAGGCCCTGGGCCTGGGGAGGCGGAGGCGGGCCGCGGCGGTGAGGTGGACGAGGGGCGAGCTCGCGAGCGCCGCGGCGGCGGCCGCCATGGCGGGGCGCGCAGTGTGGTGGAGCGCGCTGGGCTTGGCGGTGCGGTGGTCGGGGGCGGGAGAGCCCCGGCGGAGTGAGATGGAGCGGTGGGAGGGGACTAGGGGAGAGAAGGATAGGGTGCGGTGCACGGGGAAGAGAGAGAGTGTGGAGGAGCTGGATTTTTTTTGAGGGATGGGAGCTGGATTGGTAGCTTTTTTTTAGGGATGAAAAACTGCTTTATTCATCGAACTCCACATTGAGTGGGATACAAAACTAGGTCGTGGGGAACGCCAAACCAGACATGACGACCCGGACCTCTAGATAGTGTGAACTTTGCTAAGCGATGTGCTTCATAATTAACAGCACGACTTCAAGAAAAATTACAAGATAACTTAGCGGCTTTGATATTGATCTCGCTAATAACTGCTCCATAAACTCCCCTTGCCCTTCTGCTGATGTCTAGCACGACCCCACGACAGTCTGAGGCCACGTGAACTGGTGAATGCCCAAATCCTCTGCCAGGGACAGGGCTTCCCGGCATGCTATCGCTTCCAAAGTAGGGGGATCATAAACTCCTTCGACCACAAGAGCCGAGCTTCCAATGAAATTTCCTCCTTCGTCTCTGCAAACAGCCACAGCAGAGCCCCGTCTTCTTGCACGTACGCCTGCATCGACATGGATTTTGTGGTGGCCCACCGATGGCTTCTTTGGTCTTGCCTGGCGTCGCGGCGTTCCTGTTCTGGTTCTGCTCCCTGTTGCTAATGATCGTAAGATCTTGCAAGTACCTTTCGATGAAACAGTGGGTCGCTTGAGGGCTCTGAAATATTGCTTCGTGGATGGCTTTCCTCCGTGCGTGCCAGATGGACCAAAGAGTGACTGCCGTGATGATAAATTGATCATGTGACAGCATTCCCATCACCGTGAACAACCAGTTTTTAGCTCATGGTTCCGTGTTTGACGTGATTTTATGTGTGATCTCCTCGTCCGCTAGCACCCAGACGCTTCGCGAGGATGTACATTCCAAGAGAGAGTGCTGCCATGAATCTGGAACTCCGCATAGCCCACAAGTGCTAGAATCAGCCATATGACGATGTGCACGTACGTCGTTCGTTGGTAGCGAATGTTTGGATAGTCTCCAGAGGAACATGCAGATCTTACCAGGAACAACTGTTTTCCAAAGAGACTTCCACACTCCCTCCTCTGCCCTTACATTTGATGGACCGGCTTCTCCTTCTAGCCAGGCCTCTCTTCTTTGTCTAGTCGCCACAAGCATCTTATAAGCTGATTTTGCTGTGAATGATCCATGCTTTTCATGCTGCCAAGACCAAAAGTCCGGTAAGTTGCGAGTGCAGAGGGGAATGCCAAGTATGATCTCTGCATCCATATGCAGAAAAACTGCCTGAACAAGGGCTCTGTCCCATGAAGCTGTGGTGCTGATGATCAATTCAGAAACCATCGTGGGTGGATGCTTCAATTCAGAAACCATCGTGGGTGGATGCTGTACGTGGCAACCAAGAGGCCGGGGGAACTCCTCCCTAGGGAGCCAGTTTTGATACCAAATATGCATGGTTGCGTCGTTGCCAATCCTTTTGATAAGGCCTTGCTTTAAGGTATCTCGTCCCTCTATCATTGCTCGCCAAACTTGACTCGGATGCCCCCCAACTTCGCTTCCAGGATGCCAGGTGTGGGGTAATAGATACTCTTAAGCACTCGTGCACATAACTTGTCGGGGTACTGGAGCAGGCGCCATGCTTGCCGGGCCAGCATAGCTAAATTGGAAAGTTCAAAATCCTTGAAACCTAGACCACCCATGCCCTTGGGTTGAGTCATGGTCTTCCAGGATACCCAATGAGGCTTACGTTTGCCCTCTTTGCTTCCCCACCAGAACCTTCTTATTAGCATGTTTAGATGTTCACATAAACCCCTCGGAAGCTTGAAACATGACATTGAAAACACCGGGACCGCTTGTGCTACGGACTTGACAAGTATCTCCTTTCCTGCCGTGGACATTGTACGCTCTATCCATCCTTGCACCTTGCTCCAGAGTCGATCTTTTAGGTACTTAAAAGCACCATTCTTAGAACTGCCAATATCAAACGGCATTCCCAAATACTTCTCATTAAGAGTTTCATTGGGTACATTAAGGGTATCCTTTATCTCCTGTCTTACCAAGTCTGGCACTCCTTTGCTGAAATAAATATACGATTTGCCATAGTTGATACATTGTCCCGTTGCCTGACAATAAGTATTCAGAACATGGTACACCTCATTAGCCTCCACACTATTTGCCTTGAAAAACAGCAGGCTGTCATCTACGAATAGGAGATGGTTCACCAGGGGTGCCGTAGGCGCCACTTTTAGACCACTCAGGTTGGATGACTCACTTTTTGATTTTAGGAGGCACGAAAGGCCCTCTGCTGCTATCCAGAACAAGTATGGAGATATTGGATCCCCTTGTCTGATTCCTCTCAATGGTTCAAATTGTTGTAGTTTTTTGCCATTGAACAACACTGAAAATTTGACCGTGGTTACAAGGCTCATCACTATGTCAACCCACCGTTCATTGAAACCCAACTTAAACGTAATTGCCCTTAGATAAGACCACTCCATTCTGTCATAAGCTTTCGTCATGTTGAGCTTGAGTGCACAAGATTGGTTCTTCTTAGCTTTGTTACATTTCATAAAGTGCAAACACTCATAAGCTGTAATGATATTATCTGTAATCATTCTCCCTGACACAAAAGCAGACTGTTCTTTTGATATAATATCAGGCAGGACTATTTTCAACCTATTAGAAATCACCTTGGAAGCAATTTTGTATAGAACGTTGCACAAACTGATTGGACGAAATTGGGACAAGTGGGTAGGGTTTTTCACCTTGGGTATGAGAACTAAAACAGTCTCACTGATACATGCTGCCGACTCGGTGCCTTCCACAATTCTCAAAACCGCATTGGTTACCTCCTCGCCACAAGTGTCCCAATGGTGCTAAAAAAAAATGAACCAGGAAGCCATCGGGCCTAGGTGCCTTAGTGGGTAACATCTGAAAAAGTGCGGTTTTAACTTCTTTTTGGTTGTACGAGGCATTTAACATATCATTCATACTTTGCTTGACTTTGGTCGGGACCGTGTCTAGGACCTGCGCCATGTCTTGAACACCTTCTGACGTGTACAACTGCTGATAAAAGTATGTTGTCAAGCTTTCCATCTCAGGCACATTTTCTGTTGCCTGGCCATCCTCCTTTTGAAGCGATTTTATCTGATTTTTTCCTCCTCCGCCTGCTAGCCCGTAGATGAAAAAAGTACGTGTTCTTATCTCCGTGCATTAGCCATTCCAGGTGAGCACACTGCCTCCAAAGAATCTCCTCTCTATGAAATAACTCAGTTAGTCTATCCACGACTTTTAAGTCCACATGTGTTGGAGCCGATCTGCCTGGGATCTCCCATAACTCCTGTAGCTGTCGTGGAGTTGTTGTATTTCGCGTCGCACATTGCCGAAATGTGTTCGGTCCCAGCCCAACAAGTCAGATGATAGCGAATGGAGTTTGTCGCTAATCGATCTCACTGAATCTCCGGCTCCGCTCGCCCATGCAGATTGTACTAGGGGCACCTGTTGGGGAACGTAGTAATTTCAAAAAAATTCCTACGCACACGCAAGATCATGGTGATGCATAGCAACAAGAGGGGAGAGTGTTGTCTACGTACCCTCGTAGACCGAAAGCAGAAGCGTTAGAACAACGTGGTTGATGTAGTCGTACGTCTTCACGGCCCGACCGATCAAGCACCGAAACTACGGCACCTCCGAGTTCTAGCACACGTTCAGCTCGATGACGTCCCTCGAACTCCGATCCAGCCGAGTGTCGAGGGAGAGTTCCGTCAGCACGACGACGTGGTGACGATCTTGATGTTCTACCGTCGCAGGGCTTTGCCTAAGCACCGCTACAATATTATCGAGGAGGACTATGGTGGAGGGGGCACCGCACACGGCTAAGAGATCAAGAGATCAATTGTTGTGTCTAGAGGTGCCCCCCTGCCCCCATATATAAAGGAGCAAGGGGGGGAGGGGGCGGCCGGCCAGGGAGGAGGCGCGCCATGGGGAGTCCTACTCCCACCGGGAGTAGGACTCCCTCCTTTCCTTGTTGGACTTGGAGAAGGGGGGAAAGAGGAGGGAGAGAGAGGAAGGAAAGGGGGGCGCCGCCCCCCTCTCCTTGTCCTATTCGAACTAGGGGGAGGGGCGCGCGGCCCAGCCCTGGCCGCCTCTCCTCTTCTCCACTAAGGCCCACTATGGCCCATTAAGCCCCCGGGGGGGTCCGGCAACCCCTCGGTACTCCGGTAAAATCCTAATTTCACCCGGAACACTTCCGATATCCAAATATAGGCTTCCAATATATGAATCTTCATGTCTTGACCATTTTGAGGCTCCTCGTCATGTCCGTGATCACATCCGGGACTTCGAACAACCTTCAGTACATCAAAACTCATAAACTCATAATATAACTGTCATCGAAATCTTAAGCGTGCGGACCCTACGGGTTCGAGAACTATGTAGACATGACCGAGACACGTTTCCGGTCAATAACCAATAGCGGAACCTAGATGCTCATATTGGCTCCTACATATTCTACGAAGATCTTTATCGGTCAAACCGCATAACAACATACGTTGTTCCCTTTGTCATCGGTATGTTACTTACCCGAGATTTGATCGTCGGTATCCAATACCTAGTTCAATCTCGTTACCGGCAAGTCTCTTTACTCGTTCTGTAATGCATCATTCTGTAACTAACTTGTTAGCTACATTGCTCGCAAGGCTTATAATGATGTGCATTATCGAGAGGGCCCAAAGATACCTCTCGACAATCGGAGTGACAAAACCTAATCTCGAAATACGCCAACTCAACATGTACCTTTGGAGACACCGGTAGAGCTCCTTTATAATCACCCAGTTACGTTGTGACATTTGGTAGCACACAAAATGTTCCTCCGGTAAATGGGAGTTGCATAATCTCATAGTTGTAGGA